AGTGTGAAGTGAGTGATTAGAATGATAAAAGAAATTACTGAGTAGGAAGAAGCATAATAATGAACTAATTAAACTGTGCTGCAGTTCTTTTCTAAAATATCCACTCTGCCATTGATAAAATAGATTATCAATAACTGCTCCATTGATTAAATAGCTTTTTTTTCAAAGTTCTGCATTTATATGAGAATATATTCACAGAGACACTTATTTCATCATGCTTTTAAATATCAGCAATTTCAGATTTTGCTACTTAACGTCAGTCCCAAGTTAAATATCAGCTCCATATACTTTTCAAGCATGACGTCCCCAGGTTTATTTGTCTTTATTGTCACATAGGGTTGGGAAATACTGCTGTTTAAAAGCTGAGGAAACTGCTGTCCTGCCCTGTAGGAGGACTTAGAAGGACTTAGAGATGGGCACGAACTGCCGGTTCGGCTGGTTTGTTTAGCGGCCCAAAAAGGTGCTCAGCGCTTCAAAGCCCCATCTCCTTCAGTGGGCACTGACTTGGAAACAGCAGCCCGATTTCCCTGCCCTGCCTCTTCTGCGTGCTGCCCCTAAGTGGGCACCTGCTGGAGGAGGCAGGGCTTTAAAGAGCCAAAGACCTGTTCGGTCGTTAAATTAACGAGGACCAACTGCCAAATCAGAAGTTCGTGCCCATCTCTGGAAAGAGGTAGATAAACTTTAAAATTATGGTCAATAGACATTGGACTTTCTCATCTCTTATAGATCTTTGTGGTAGTTTTTTGAGAGGTACCCTGTACAGAGGTGAATGGGCAGATGAGCTACCATTCCCATAAGCCCTTTGGCCTCCCGTGATGTTTAGCACCTTCCAGACACTTGTTCTGTTTTCCTCACATGCAGATAATGGCTGTCACAGCTGTCATTCTCCACCTGTGTTTAATTGGGAACTACTGTGATGATTTCAATTTCTTTGCCAAAACCACCTAAATTCTGGGTGCTGAAGTCCAAGAAATATGAAAGTCCTACGCCTCATGGTCCACAAACCAGACAAAACAGTTAACAAAACATACCACAAAGCCACAAAAGAACACTGGAATGTCGCTTTTTAGGTTCTCCTCTCCGGTGCTCTTCCTGTAGACCACACTTTTAATATAATAAAAAAGACAAAAACATTGTCTCTTCCTTTATATCAGTGAGAGAAGAGGGCTTCATACACTTTTCCTGCTATGTGGAAGCAATAAATAGGGAGGAAAAATGAATATGATGTGTGAAGGTGATGGTTTTTAACTGGATAAACATGGCGTTCCCAGGCAACATTGCTCCTGGCATAATCCTACACTGCACATGGACTGATTTCACGAGGAGGTGTAGTTGGTCTCACCATTTCATCGCTTTTACATTTTGTAGCCTGAACAGTTCATAGTCACCTTGGCTCCTTTTAAGGTGGAAGGCAGAGTAAAAATATTTTAAATAAATTAATGAAGTAATAAAGATCAGTGGAGATACTGGGATTTAGAAGTATTTTGGTTTGGTTGGATCATGTTTGATAGAATTGTTAGATTATATATCCCATTTTTCAGGTGTGAGAATTCTTCAATTAAACAGCAAATATACAGTATTTCTGTATATATCCACTGATGCTTAGAGCTAGCTTGGCCATTGAATATTGTAATGTATTTGCAAGGTAGAAGTAAATGAGACTGTTTGTTTTTGATTGTGTTAGCTTCACTTTCATAGGCTTTTCCATCTTCTTCATCCATCTGTCTGTGTCAGGGATGGGAGTCCAAGAGAAATACATTTGTATGTATTGTCTCATTAAAAAGTTTTATATCTATCCTACACATTTGAGCACAAAGTACCCATTTTATATGAGAGAAGGAAACAAAGGAGAGGTGGAAAGTAGTTTCATTTGGGAGGGGGGTTATAAAAAGTAAGATGCCGGCCACAGAGACTGGCGAAACGTTAGGAAGAACAACCTTCGGAAACACGGCCAAAGAGCCCGAAAAACCCACAACAACCATTGGATCCCGGACGTGAAAGCCTTCGCGAATAATTGTTTCCCTTCATTTATCATTTTCCTTCAGCTTCATTTGACAAACTGGTTGCTTTCTGTAAGGGCAGATACGGGAGACGATAATAATTAAGGTGCTACCTCTGGCAAAATTACTGGGGGAATTATTACATGTAAAAGATCTTTTTCAATATTTAAGTGAAGATAAAAGCACACCGTTAAGCAGAATTGATGCCCTTGATGTTAAGCAAGTAACTGAGATCTGTCAGGCTAATTCAGTACCCACTGCAATTCACACATGTTTTCAACTAGACTTGGACTGCACTAGCTGCATCCATTTGCCACCCACATTTGCAGATTTCAAACTGGTGGAGTGAGCATAGTAGGGAGGAGGTTCCTTCTCTGTCTCCCTCTCTGTCTTGCCTTTATGGCGATGGAGGAGAGAAAGGAAGCCTATCACACACAGGCTTCAGAATCTCTATGTGGTGGGCTGCCCCTCTTCTCCATCCCAGCATCAGGTAGCCATTAGCATCTTGGAGGAGGACTCAGGAGATCTTGGTTCATATCCCAGGAGTAGATGACTTTGGACCAGTCATAACATGTCAGCCTGACTCAGCTCACTGAGTAGCTTTGAGTATAAGGAGATCTTCAGATCCCAGGAGTAGATGACTTTGGATCAGTCATAACATGTCAGCCTAACTCAGCTCACTGAGTAGCTTTGAGTATAAATTTGGGAGGAAGAGGAGGAGAGCCATGTAGGCTGCCATGTAAGTTACTTTTTGACAGCTCCCGCCAGCATAACCACTGGCCTACTAGCTTCAAATGTCCTAGTAAGTTTGCCAGGCAGAGCAGATCCCAGGAGTAGATGACTTTGGATCAGTCATAACATGTCAGCCTAACTCAGCTCACTGAGTAGCTTTGAGTATAAATTTGGGAGGAAGAGGAGGAGAGCCATGTAGGCTGCCATGTAAGTTACTTTTTGACAGCTCCCGCCAGCATAACCACTGGCCTACTAGCTTCAAATGTCCTAGTAAGTTTGCCAGGCAGAGTCCTCCTACTGTTTCGAAGAGACACCCAGGTTTTCTTTTTAATGTGATGTATGAGAAAGACCTGGAAAAGACCCTGATGTTAGGAAAATGTGAAGGAAAGAGGAGAAGGGGACGACAGAGGATGAGATGGTTGGACAGGGTCATCAAAGCTACCAACATGAATTGACCCAACTCCGGGAGGTCGTGGAAGACAGGAGGGCCTGGCGTGCTCTGGTCTCTGGGGTCACGAAGAGTCGGACATGCTAAACGACTAAACAACAAACAATGAGAAAGCAGTAAATCAGACATGCTCACATAAACGACTAAACAAGAAACATTGAGAAAGCAGTAAATCAGACATGCTCACACACTTGCCTTTCATCCTATGTTGCAAATAATGAAGTCATCTTAAGAGTCAAATGAGGGGCAGTTTGTGGACCAAGTGGAAGGGGGGGGATGCCTCACCATGGAGGGGGTGCTCCCTACTTCCATCAAGAACTGCCTGTGATCATTGTGCTACTTCTGACAAATTCCCATTGTGGCTTTCGGTTTATAGAACTTCAGAGGTCTTGAAATCATTTAATCATTGTTAAGGACACATAACTTTTTAACCAGGTTGTGGGCTCCTTATTCCTAGTTTTTTATTTCAGGCCAAGGGGAGAGATGTACACAAAGAATTAAGTATTTTCAGGGATCAATTCGCAGATCGTGCGGCTTGGTGTTTAGATCACTTAAGAGAAAGAAAATGAGGATGCACAACTTCCTTGTTGCTTAGAGAAATAATTGCCTTTATTGACAGAATATTATGAAAAGGAGCCTCTAGGCCTGCCAGGCTCCTGTCTGTTTCAAATGCCTATTGCATCATTCAGATCTGCAAGGAATCCTTGATGGCTAACAAGTCCTCAGTCTACATTTAAATTTACATTTATCTAGACATATTTTCCCTTCCGGTGGTATATGTGTGAATTTGGTAAACATTTCACATCTATGCCACCCGGAGTTTTTCTAAATCAGAAAGAGCCACACACATTTAGCACTGAATTAGAAATATATATTTAATTCATGAAGATCATCTTATATGTTTTAGAACACTATTTAAGCCAATCCTTACTCTGTTGAAAAGTGCTTATTAGAGGTAAATTACACATTTTACTACTGGAGCATTAGAGGTACCATTAGTGCAAATTTAAAGCACTGCAAAAACCAGTAGATAATGTTAATTTCAAACACAGAAACTACATATATTTTGTACCTCTTTATTACACGTTTTCTCTTTAATTTTTATTGACTACCTTTTATCTTAACTATATGTTCTTTACACAATGCAACCGCAATGCACTATAATGGTATTAATATTTTATAGAAACTGTATTTATAGTTCTTTATTTGGATACAGTGCAGCAGGTCTGCAGATCTTTGAATCCTTCTGGAATGGTGCCCTCCAAATAATGATAAATTACTTGTGCAGAATGCCATTTGCTAATTATATCCATGATTTACTGCAGAGCAAGACTTAAATCATTCATTTCAGTCTTGCGTAACAGTGCCATAAAAATTTTAGGTTTAAAAATGGTTTCCATGTGTATAATTTAAACAAATTTTAGTGCTATTGTATACAGAAAAACATTGTAGTCATCCATTTGTTACATACTTTGTCTCTCCCTCCTCACCCCCGCCCCCATTTGTACTTTTAATGATCACTCTGGTGGAATAGTTTTGCTTCATTTTCATAATCATAGCTTTTAATTCCACAGCAGTTTTAGCACGTTAGGCTAAGGAAAAGATAGCTAACTGTGTGTTTAAGGTGTATCGTTCTTGTGTTGCTAAACGAAAGCCATTTTTATGAATTCTATGTTAAGGTGGCAGTGACATTAGAGAATTAATTAGTGATTGTTTGAAGCCATTGTGAGTTTAGGATGGATCTTGATTTTTTTTCTCTCTCTCTCTCCCCACTGGTAAATTCAGTTTAACACAGCTATTTTTCCTTTTGATAATTGCAGGTGAGAAGCCTTACAAATGTCCTCACTGTGATTACGCTGGTACCCAGTCGGCATCTCTTAAATATCACTTGGAACGACACCACCGTGAACGACAGAACGGATCTGGGCCACTCTCTGGACAGTCCCAAAGTCAAGATCACAAAGATGAAACATCAAGTAAAGGATCGATGTTCATTAGACCTGAGGTGCTAAGAGGAGCCTTCAAATGTCTTCCGGGTATAGATTTCCGGAGTAGCCTCGGATCTCAGCAGTGGTCACCACCAGGAATGCTTTCTTCAGGAGAACATCAAGGTCATTCGATTGGCATGTCATCAGAAATTTCTTCAGATGGTATGAAAGGTTCTGACATATCCTCCAAAGGGACCCGCTTTTCTGAACTGGGCCGAGCTTATCATAGTGTAGTTGGAAATGGAGTGAACTTCCAAGGCTCACTGCAAGCTTTTATGGACAACTTTGTCCTCAGTTCCTTGAAGAAGGAAAAAGAAATGAAGGATAAAGTTTTGTCTGATTGCCTTTCCACAAAGCCTCTGGGTCCAGAGGGTGGCGATGAAAAAGTATCTAGTAAGCCGAGGAAAACAGAAAAATCGCAGTATGAACCTCTTGACCTCTCTGTGAGGCCAGATGCTGCCAGTCTTCCAGGTTCATCAGTTACAGTCCAAGACAATATTGCTTGGCATGGCTGCTTGTTTTGTTCCTTCACAACATCATCCATGGAACTAATGGCTCTTCATCTCCAAGCCAATCATTTAGGCAAAGCTAAACGTAAAGATGGCGTATTAGGATCAATTAGAAATGGCAAAGACCAACCTAGAGAGGTGGCTGCATCAGTGAATAAAGTCAGCCTCCTTTCCACTTCCGTACAGTCCAACAAAGACCCAGCCATTCCCAACCTGATTGGCCAAATGGATTCAGGTTCTGAAAGAATGAATCAAGGATCCAAGGAATCACCAGGAGATCAAAAGAACACTCCTTGGCCCGGCCACGTGGATTCCACTTTTTATAATTTTGCAGCAGACTTCTATAAGCAATTTGGTGTTTATTCTGGAGTAGTAGGAACACATAATTCTTGCACCACTGGTGAAGCTGACATAAAAACACAATCTGAAGATGATGCAAATGTGCTGCTTTCTGATTCTGTAAATAAAAGTGCTACTGATGACCTTTCAGACATAGCTTCATCTGAAGACATGGAGTCCTCCAAGGAAGAAACCATTGACGATGAGGACATTGAAACAGAATCAGATCTTACAAACAAAACATTGCCCAATCTGAGTAGAGAAGATACCGACAGAGGGGACAGCATACAAAGCTCTGCTGCCTCAAAAACACCTTCCCAAGGACTAATATCTCCATTGCCACCTTCTGAAAAGCAATGGCATAGTCAGAATTTGCTTCTTCCCCATGAAGTTGCACAAAGTGCAATGAAATCTGAACAAGCTCAAAGTCCACAGGTCCTGGAGAAGCAAGTAAACATGTTGTCGGTCCTAAGAGCCTACAGCTCTGATGGCTTAGCAGCCTTTAATGGACTTGCAAGTAGCACAGGAAGTAGTGGATGTATCAAGAGACCTGACTTGTGTGGTAAGTTTTAGAAACCTTCTTTCAGACCATTTCCAGAAAAAAAAAATCATACAAAATTACTGAGTATGGCTGTCTATGTTTGTTAGTAAATTTGGCATTCAAAAATGTTCAGAAACCATGGGAAACGTTCTAATTTGGTACAGAGCATGGACCTCCGTTGAAATCAATGGTGCTTCATGTCAAACTGTGTGGCCTTTACATGTGATCCAGGCCATTAAATAAACACATCATGTAGTCTTAAATTAGATTAGCAGTTATATAATATATTTGTATTTATGATATGTGATCAGGACATCTGCTGTTTCATTTTTATCAATCAGATTTTATTTTATTTTTAAAGTGATGTGGTAACTTGCAAACTTTTCAGCATTTGAAATAAGGAAAAACACTGGATACTTTGCCAAGCCTTAGCCTAGTTTGCTTTCACTCTTTCCCCCACCTTTTATTTTTGTTAAGGGTTTATGGAACACTTTGAGTATATACATCATATGAAAATCCAGTCAACTATCCTGGTGTATAGCTAGGCTTTTAGAGAAAAAAAATCCATTATTAATCAGACAGTAATCCAACAATATTTTCAAACACTAGATAATTTACTCTATCATTTTTCTTATTAGAAATAGTATGAGCATCAAGTCTTCAAATTAGCAATAGTTACACACATTTAGAAACAACATGTCCCTTTATAGATTTAGTGGTGATCAATTACAGTGGACCCTCGACTTACAGACGGCTCGACTTACAGGCTTTTCGAGTTACAGACGTCTCTGGCCACAAAATTTAGTTTCAACTTGCAGCCGGAGAATCGACCTACAGACCAGAAAAAAACCAAAATGGAACAAAAATGGAACAAAAACAGCCGGTTACATATTAATCAGTTTTCAATGCATTGTAGGTCTATGGAGACTCGACCTACAGACTTTTCGACCTGCAGCCACCGTTCCAATACGGATTAATTCCATAAGTAGAGGGTCCACTGTACAGTGGTGCCCCACATAGCGAGGTTAATGCCCCAATCGTCGCAAAGCGAGTGCGGCGATTGGGGCAGCTCCGTATAGCGATCCCCAAAAAGGGATCGCTATACGGATTCTTCGTTATACGGTGCGCTTGTTAAGCAAGGCACCACTGTATTTTTTAACTTCCTAAATGGCTGCTTATGTGAGCCTATCCAGTTATTGGGTTGTCTAAATAAAATGAACCATGGGCTACAACTCTCAGAATCCCGCCACCGAGCCAAAATCCGTACAGAATACAGAAATCATGGTTCAAAAAATAAAGTTTCCCCAAGTTCTGATGAAGTGATTCAGCCTATGATGAGCCCCTTTGCTGCCAACGTTTTGACAAGGTAGATGACTATTGCTTGTCTGAAGTGTGCTGGTTTGGAAGTCTGTGTGATGTGTCACTGCCACTACTTGGCTACTCCAGTGTTCATAATATGTTCATCATACATCCTTAGTTAAATAGCCTGTTCTTTGACCTAATATATGCTGCTTCATTATACAAGCCCTAAAATCAGACTCTCAGAACTCTTTGAAAGTTTTGATCAGAACAACATAAAAAAAAACCACACACACACATCCCACTAGAGAAAGTGTCAATATATCTCTGCAAAAAGGCAGCAGAAGTTTTGTAAAAAGAGTGCATACATTGCAACAGAATCAATATAACATTTAACGGCTCCCTGAAACAGCTGTTAGTCCTGCCTGACTAGTTCATGGCATGCAGTTTCCATCCTCCCAGCTTTCTGATAGTTATGCTGTATAGAACATTTGCAAACATGAGCTTGACGCATATGCACATGTTACATTTCTAGGCATACCCCTAAAAACTATTCATGTGGGCAGCGTTTGTACGACTTACGTTCTTAGGTTCGTGGAGTATGCGCCACTTACTGTGGTGCCACCCTATCGGCCACCTGGATGTAATGTTCCCATTGCAGGCCATAGTTAAGTTGCCAGGCAGTGTGGGGAGCAACGGTGCAAAATCACACAGGCCAAGTTCAGCTAATTAACCCAGAGTGGTAAAAAACACAGGACACAACTTAAACACAGTATTTAGCTAGGGTGGGGGGAGGGCAGTGCCATATCTCTCAACATTGCCTTTTGCAAATCAAGGCAAAGCTCAAAATGTGATGCCCTGTTTATTCCAAAAAGAAGAAGAATAAATAAATAAATAAATAAATAAAAAGAAATAAAAGAAAAATGTGGCACTGCTGATTTATGAAATTGGAGCTTATTCCATATAGGCAGAAGAAATAAAAAGAAATAAGAAAAGAATGTGGCACTGCTGATTTACGAAATTGGAGCTTATTCCATATAGGCAGAAATTTATGTTGGAGCAGTAAAAATTAAGCTAAACTCAATGTTGAGAGGCTGTTTCTTAGAGGTTTGCCCTTTGCTTCTTTATTTTCTTCTTACTAAGGTGGGGTAGAACTGGAGGAGCACCATTCCTCAAACTTAACCATTCCTAGTCCTGAATGTATATGGTAAACCAAACCATCTCAAGAGGATTTAGACATTCACCCAGAAAAGTCTTCTGCAAGATTTCTGTTGTCCTGATGGATACTTGATGTTTCTAGTATCAGGTCACAGATAGGCAAAGTTTCAATAGGTTAGCCTCTGTGTCTTGGACTTTGTACGTACAGAAAAGTCTGCAGGGTGACTCTGAACTCAAAACTTTTTTTTCCCCTGAGAAAGTATCCATAACTACTTTGTGCAAGGAATGCTTTCAAAAAAAATAACTGGAGGGGGAGAGCCCATTATGGAATTTCTGACAGTCTGAAAAATATTGACAGCTGTTAATGTTATGCAAATTAAAAGTCCCACATTGCTCCTTTTAATAGCTATCCAGCCTCATCACTATAAAGAGGGATGCCCAAAAATATCAAAAATCTAAACATTTGCAGCTCTCATTGTAAAACACGGCTATCTTCAACGTTTTAAAGCATTATTCCCTATTAAAGTTATATGCCCATATCCTATTATTATTATTGTTATTATCATTATTATCATCATCATTATTATTATTTCACTATAACTATTGCTACTACTCCTACTACTCCTTTGCAATACAATGCTCAGAATTTTTGTTGCATTTTTTCGCTTTCTAAGGATTCTGAACCTAAGGATTCAGTATTCATTTAATGAGTGTCTGAGGTCATGAAGGTTTTACATTCTGTGCCTTTTAACAGAGATAAGGCCCAAACTAACCTGCTAAACTAACTTCCAATGTATTTGATTAGTGTTTAAAGTGGGACTGTAGCTCTCATTCTCCTGTTCCCCCTCTCCTCAATTTTTTTTTTAAGAAAGGGTACACTGTTATCTTCATTGTCAGTTTCTGCTGAACTCTTATTAGTTATACACTAATAGTAATAATAATAATTATGTGCCCCCAAGTCAATTCTGACTTGTGGTGGCTCTTTTCAATGTTTTCTAGGCAGAGAGCATTCCAAAGTGGTTTACCATTTTCTTCTTCTTGGAATACCCTGGGATTGTGCAGCGTGCCCAAGGACACAAGGCTGGAATTGAACTCTCAATCTCTGGTTCTACAGCCAGAGGTTGAGAGTTCAGTTATTGATGGTTGTTGTGGGTTTTTTGGGTTCTTTGGCTGTGTTCTGAAGGTTGTTCTTCCTGACGTTTCGCCAGTCTCTGTGGCCGGCATCTTCAGAGGTCTGGAGTACTCTGAAGTACCTTCAGAACATGGCCAAAGAACCCAAAAAGCCCACAACAACCATCAGATCTCCACCGTGAAAGCCTTCGATAATACAGTTTTATTATTATTATTTCACTATAACTATTGCTCTACAGCCAGATAGCTAAACCACTGAGCTGTCCAGCCAGCTAGTTATGTACTGGTGCATTGTAATGACATTACACCTACTTTAGCTACAGTTCATCATTCTCTCATCTTAGACTGGGCTTTCCCAGCAACTCAAAACCGCATCATTGTATATTGAACTAGAAGATTGTTGCTGTTTTTCCCTAATATAAGTATAAGGAAAAATGAAATAAGGAGTTTTGTGAGTTGTTAGTTAGTCCTTAACCTAACCAGACTTGATCTGGAAGAAGGTTATTGTTGGCATCTTCCATACATTCCAGGTAGCAATCGTATGATTACTGGTTCTGTACATTTACTGTTTGAAATGCATGGATCTTCACTGGAAGATTGCAGAATAGTAAGAATGCATGACTGCTAACTAGCAATCATAAAACCTGTTGCCAAGTTACCCAACTGGTTTATTGTTAAATCAGTTAATATCCAAAACAGGTACTGCTGTGTGGGCAGGAGTGATAGTTAGGGAAGAATTGCTGCTGTCTCATTTGGTTAGTTACATTTGGAGAGTTTGAACTAGTGCATGGCATGAAAGCTGGAGAAACCTAGGAGAGCTAGCTGGAAATGGATGGAGTTGTAGTTCAACACATATTGAGGCCACCAGGTCGAGTGAACCTGTTCTAAATCTGTTCAGATATTACCATGATACCTTGCCTGTGCCCCTCCTTTCCACCATAGGTCAACCAGATTTGTTCTTATTTTGACCAAATACAATTCCAGCTGTGTTCCTTTCTGTCTAACCCAGGTCCAGGTGATATCAGAATTGGGAACTGACAAAAGGTGGGAAGACTTCATGTTATATTTCAATACCTGTATGGAATGTACCAAACAGCTACCTACAAATAGAGAAGGGTTGCCATTTTCCCCTTCTACATTTATGTTGCAAGAAGCTGGGTGAACCCCATGTTCCAACCGTATGAATAACCAAGGAGTGTGCATTTGTATGACACATTGCAGAGTACAAAGTGGACATATGTGGTGCCCCCCTTCTACATTTATGTTGCAAGAAACTGGGTGAACCCCATGTTCCAACCATATGAATGACCAATGTATTTATAAGGAGTGTGCATTTCTATGACACCTTGCAGAGTACAAAGTGGACATATGTGGTGCAAGCACTATGTTTCTGTTCACTGATGGTGAAGTAGACCAGGACAATTTTGCCCCAA